CCCCAGGACTTAGTAAACTTACCTGAGACGATAGCTACGTTCGATGACGCAAATCGAGCGATAGCGAGTCTCCGTGAAACTATTACTTCCGCAGTCACAGACTCGGAACGGACGGTGAAACTGTCGGGCGACCGACGGTTTAACTTTCCGCCCGACCTACGACTGCTAATTAGACAAAAAAATGCAGCTAAACGCGCCTTCGACCGATACCGATCGGAATCGAACCGAACTCTACTTCGACGCCTTCAGCTAGAAGTCAAAGATCGTGTATCGGAACACCGACATACAACGTGGGACACTCTCCTAGAGGACATCGAGCCATCGCACACCGCCTACTGGCGGTTGGCCCGCAGTCTGAAAGTCAGACCCCCGCGAATCTCTACCGCCGTTAGTTAGACCTAATAGCGCTTCAGTAGCCTTAGATGACTCCGAAAAAGCCGAATGCCTTGCGGACAACCTAGAGCAGCAATGTACGCCATCGCGCGAACACACCGATTCGGCCCACCTAACGGAGGTGGACCGCGTAATCGAGACTAGGGCTGCGCTTCCACCGGAAGGCGAACCTTTATAAGAACTTTACGAAGCAAGCCACGGTTATCGGCATTCGCAAACCGAATAAACCAGCCAATAAGCCCTCCAGCTATCGTCCCATCAGCCTCCTCAGTTGTCTGGGGAAGCTCTACGAGCGGCTATTGTTAAACAGGCTCAAAGAGCACGTGTTTTCCAACGGCCTTCTGCCGACGGAACAATTCGGCTTTCGAGCTAGACACTCTTGTCCCGATCAGCTATACCGCCTAACGGAGCACATCCTAAAAGGCCTTAACCACCCCAAACACATTAGTACAGGGGCTCTATTCTTCGATGTCGCAAAAGCATTCGACAAAGTCTGGCACAACGGCTTGCTTTACAAGCTGTACACACTCAAAGTGCCAGATAGGCTCGTACATACCATCCGGGCCTTTTTGTTGAACCGCTCTTTTCGATATCGAGTCGAGGGCACCCTCTCTCCACAAGCCGCCGCCTCACGGCCGGCGTACCACAAGGCTCCTGCCTCTCTCCTTTGCTATTTACGCTCTACACGAGCGACATACCTAGAGACCCCCACGTCAATCTCGCGCTTTTCGCGGATGACACGGCGCTCTTTTACTCAGATCACAACCTCAGTCAATTAACAACTCGACTCCAAAGCTCTGCCGACCGCCTCGGCGATTGGTTCCGCAAATGGAGAATCGATATTAATCCCGAAAAGAGTGTGGCGATTCACTTCACACGAAGTACCTACCCGTCACATCTTTATAATGGCCCTCGCCAATGCAGAAAGTTGGGGCAAATATCCCTTTATAGCCAACCGCTCCCCTGGGAGAAAAAGGTCAAATACTTAGGAGTCACTTTCGACTCGCGTATGTCATTTACTACGCACATTAATAACGTTCGTAATAGAGCCGCGTTCGTCTCCGGCCGGCTACACAATTTAACTAATGCTAAAAGTAAAATGCCCTTAAGGCACAAATTATTATTGTATAAGACCTGCGTACGACCTATTATGTCCTACGCATGCATGATCTTCGCCCACACGCACCCTACTCGCTTGTACAAGTTGCAAATAGTACAAAATAAGTTTATCCGCCGCGCAACCGGTGCGCAGTGGTATCAGCGCAACGTCGACCTGCACAGCGATTGCAGACTCCCGACGATTCGCGCACATTTTAAATATTTGACAAAACGGTTCTTCGATAGAGTCCAGCATCATCCCAACCCTCTGGTGGTAAGCGCAGCAAACTACCAACCGGACACAAACGCGAACGTAAACAAGCGTCGCCCGCGACACGTCCTCATCGACCCGGTCGACGAAGAGGACTTAGATACGATGGACCCACCGCCGGGGGACCCTACCCATAGCGGAGGGTCCAAACCCGTGGGTTCTGGCTAGCCCACCGGTTCTGCGTTCCATGAAGCTTTAATAGTTTAGAGACTGAAAGCAAAAACATTAGTTAATACAAGATACAAGAAAGCATTTTACAGACTGCATAATAATTAATATTTTTTATTATTTTTTTTTGAACCCAAGTTGCTCGAGTAAATGTAATTAAAGGCGAGCGCCAGGACACTGAGCTATCACGGTTAATTATTTTAAGTGCTGAATTATCACGTTCTCGGTGGTGAAGGAAAAGATGAGGAAACCTACATATTCTCGAAATAATAATAAAGAAAATATATCGAAAATGTGTGAAGTCCGACAATCGAAAGTGAGGTCGCGTGGACCATAGTCCTGTAACCAGGGCATACCCTCTTTACGGAGGAGGCCTTTGCCCAACAGTGGGGCATGTATAGGCTGTTACTTTACGTAAACTGCAAGCACGCTTTCCATCTTATCAAATAAAAATAAATTGGGGGAGGCCTATGTTCAGCGGTGGTCGCCGCATAAAAATATACATAATATGCTACTAACATATACATAATATGTTAGTTCTTACCTGGCAAATCAAGTTTAATGTCATGTTTACTATTCTCAATTCTTTTTTATTATTATTGAGATTCAATATTCACAAGACAGATTAAGTGACACAGAAAGATGTCAACCAACTCCTCGACTATCTTCAGGATAGTTCAGATAAAATAAAAAAATAAAAATACTGAATCGAAATACTGAAAACAAACATCTCATTATTACTTTTGCTCAAATTTAAAGTACTCAGAGTTAAATTATGGTGATGTAAACTTTTTCCCAAAACAGAATTACTTTACATTTACGCCCGGTTTCTGAAACACTGTTCATCGTAGAAGTCAACTAATCAGCTGTCAAACGATGGTCAGTTTGAAATGTAAACTAAACTTTAGTGATATGTATCAGATTTCAACATGATTCAGACTTAAAAATATATTATATTTAAGTGACACACATCCATGTAAATGAGCCATTTATTAAAAGTTTCTTCAAATTAATTTGGAAACATTCACTAAAATGGGTAGTTTATCTTTTGGATTGTTTTCTCGGTACAGTGAAAAATGAGCAGAGAACTTTTCAGTTAAATTGTCGTATCTTTTAAAAAATTCATAAGTCGCAGATTAATTTATAACCGAGGACTTTTTAACACAAATTTATGTATACTGTTGATTAGTTAGTAGCGATTAAATAGCAAAAACTGTGATGATAAAATACATTATAGTTTAAAACTTCCACCTTTCCCTTCCAAATGAGAGCACATTGCCAAATCAGAACATGTTATTTTTAGACTATGGAGATAGATCAGTGTTAAGGGGTGTTTGTGATCCACGAGATAGATTTGTGTTTTAGTTTTTCGAATGTTTGAGTACCGCTATTTCAGTTGTGTATACAATACGTACGGGGCGGCTATTTATGCTTTTTGTGCTTATCACTTACCAGCTGCTGCCCGCGACTACGTCTGCGTAGAATAGGTTGAAGGCGTAACTTTCAGACAGAAAGACAGATATACAATAAATATGTATATAAATTATAGCCTTTGTCTTATTCTGATGTCTAAGCTATATTATTGTAAAGTTTCATTAAAATCCATTCAGTAGTATTTGCGTGAAAGAGTAACAAACATCCACCCATACATACAAACTTTCGCCTTATAATATTAGTAAGGATGAGCCAGTGTCACTACACACAGCACACCACAGTTCTTTGATAAGTTATTTACAAAAGCTACTGTGAAAAGGCATATTATTTATATCCTGCGTACAAATTACGGTACGCGGTAAAATGTATAAAGCTGTAAGGACTGGATTGATGGTGACGAAGAACTAATTGGTATTTTGTCCGTTATAACGTTAAAAGCATAAAAAGTATGTTTGTAATAACGTACTCACGTAAAAAGTTATACTTATTTAACGTAAAAAAGAAAAATATAATATATATCTCTATAATCTATAATTTAAATAAATAATGACTCCGTGACGCAGTTGCCAAGGTATTTACTTCGTCGGGAATCGTGAGTTCGATTCCCACACGGGACAACTATTTGTGTGACTCACAGATAGTTGTTTCGCATCAGGGTGATTGTCCACGTGAAATTTATGTTAGTTAAACGTCTTTACTACACATAATGTTATCCTAAAGTAAGGGCAGTGTTTATTAAAAAAAGTTTTAACTAACATACCATTAACCAAACACACAAGATTATTAGTGTAATCACTTTTATAACTAGAGGAAGAACACTCAACTGAATCTTACAAGCTAAGCACAGTGTCTCGCCTATTTAAACTGTATTGATGCAGACTTTTAGTGTAAGTTATAATAACATCAATACTTTCACGGATCAATCCAGATACGAAACTACTTTCGCGTAAAATTTTATTTACACTGACTTGATAAAAATAAAGTAGGCCTTACCGTTTTCGATCCATGAATTTCCATTTTTGTTTGACCTGAAAACAAAATCAGTTTTGAAAGTTGAAATATAGTTCATATTCCAAAAGCTATAATATCTGTAAAGTTCGTGGAAATTAATTTATTTACACGAGCCTATGATTTTGCACCCGCGGATCACTGTTTAAGTCAACTAACATAACTTATATTACGAAAGAACAGGCACATTTACAAAGCTTTGCTAAGCTTGATGTAAGAAGTATACCACTTGGTAAGGAATAAAGTGAAATTTAAAGACCATTTTTTTATACCTACATAAACGAAATTCCGGACATGAAAGTTCTTAAAATGTAGAACTATTTTCAATGTAATGGAACTCACAAAGCTCAATCATGTATAAATTTTCGTCTTGGATGCGGGAAAAAAACTGTATAATTTTTGATATAACTAAGTATTTCATGATTATTTAGTAGGAAGTATTATACTTTTCCGTTTCGTCTGATGAGTGAATCCCATGTTTGAAAGTTGGCAACATGTTTGCAACCCTCAGGTATTGTCGATGTGGACAGCGGCGGTATTCACTTAACATGAGGTGAACCACCCACTTGCAAGCTTTTGACTTGAACTAATATTATTATTACCAACACATCTAAATGAAGGTTTGATCGGACTCCATGTTTGTGTACTTGTAAAAGTTGACATTATAATTACGTAAAGGTAAGTTTAAAGCGTGTGTATAAAATAGAGATTAACACTAAAATAGAAGCAATTATAAATGCAATTTACATTTCTGATCCGGACGTTTCATCTGCGTAGGTGCTGTATAAATGTTGACTTGGAGCGTAAGCGCGCAAAGAATCTGTGGACAAAAGAGAATACGTTACAAAGCGTAATACGGAACAAATTTCCAGGTTTAATTGAATAACGCCGTACATGTAAAACTTTTTGCTTTATAAAACAAAGTAAAATTGATTTAAATTGCAAAAATATGCGTGTTGCTAATTTTAAGTAGTAAAGTTTAACAGTAAACATTAAAAATCAAATGTTAAAAATATGAATAAAATCTAGGTTCGAATTCTATTTCCCCGCGGTAGTTTGAATACTTCCAACTAAGCACTGTCAAAAAATATTTTCGTTTTGATTGATATAACAACGTTTGTTTATTATTTTTTGTTACAAAAAGAGACTGTAGATTGTATTTCAATTTCAACTAGTACATAAAAAAACAAACGAAATAATAAATTCAAACGTCAATTTTTTTTAAAGATAATATAAGTTTAATTATAATATAAGGATGATATGTTTGTAGTGAAAACCGAATTTTATTTTAAATTTTCAAACGCTTTGACGCATTACTTTAATTATGAATCCATAGAAAATTAAGCATTAAGGATTACCAGGATATTAAATTACCATACTTTGAAATGCATTTCACAAAGTCTTTGACGGCTGACTCTGTTAAAGGGTTTCTAGAGTGTAACGTACAGACTAAAACTGTCAACTGTCAGGTAACGCTACGAAGTCAGCGCTACGAAGGCTGTAACCATTTGGAATAGTCAACGCTTGCATGCGAACTAATTTCAACATATTTCGCATATGTTTCGAAATTTATGTTTTTGTTTTCGGGTTTAATATATAATGGTTTACGGAATAGCGAGTAAGATGAAAATATAGGGGGCATGCCTCTGTGGTTCGAACATTTCCGATTACGTGGAAACATTCCACGACAACTATAAAACTAAGAACTACAAACTAAAACTAAACTATTTTTCGACACAGCTTTCGACTCGAATCCAATATTGTTTCATCGAGCTGTGCGGTTATTGACATTTTTTCTCGGTGTAAACAATTTCTCATTCATTAACAACATAACTGAATTATGTAGATTTTTAAGTATAAAAAAATAAACTTGCAATCAAACCGTCCCGTAAAACATCTCCCATTAGCATGAATGTTGCAAATTATTTGAAAATATTGGGAGTTGAAAATGGCTTTTTATTTTTTAAACAGACCGCAGAATTTTTAAACAGCTTAAATGACTTTTTAAATGGCTTTTTTCTCTTTTACCGCAACACCCGTATACTCGTTGTGTTTTCTAATTATGTTCTTGCCTAAAAGTACTTTTTATTGGTCGGATGGATTTTCCTTCTCTCAGTCTTCTTTGTGTCGCTGCAAACCTAATTACAACTCTATGCTAAAAATATCTTGATTTACTTATCTATACAATATCTATATCTATAAAACCATCCAAGTGCGAGTCGAACTCGCGCACGAAGCTTTCCGTGCCATAATCTATAAAAACGGCCGAAAAAACCAGGCTGTTGTATGGGAGCCCCACTTAAATATTTTTTTATTTTTTGCTATTTTTTAGTATTTGTTGTTATACCGGCAACAGAAATACATCATCTATGAAAATATTAACTGTCTACCTATCAGGGTTCATGAGATACAGCCTGATGACAGACGGACACACAGTCAGACAGACAGATTGAGTACGGAACCGTATTAAAGCTGAAGAGTTTGTTTTTTGAACGCGCTAATATCTGGAACAACCAATCAGATTTGAAAAAAATATTTTGGCATGTGATACCCCAAATTCTTGAGGAAGGTTATAAGGTACTAGCGACCCGCCCCGGCTTCGCGCGGATGCAATGTATTATACATATAACCTTCCTCTTGAATCATTCTATCTATTAAAAAAAACGCATCAAGATCCGTTGCGTAGTGTTAAAAATCTAAGCATACATAGGGACAGACAGACAGCGGGGCAACTTTGTTTTATACTATGTAGTGTTTGAAAATCTCGGGGCGACGGTTTACGGTGGTAGGGCCACGCAACAGCCTCGGCTGTTGCACGAATGGGCAGGTCCGTCCGGGTAAGTACAACGACTTCTCAGAAGACCAGCGTAAAGTGGAAGTATGACAAATACTTTCGCGTTTCGTCTGGTGAAGCCGCATTTTCAAAAGGTTGTCAACGCATCTGTAACCCACGAGTGTGGCAGATGTCCATGGGCGGCGGTATTCACTTAACATCAGGTGAACCGTCTGCTCGTTTGACAACTTTTCCTATAAAAAAAAAACCTTCGGGGGCGAAGCAAAAACGTTTCTCGAGGAAAGGATGGAACAGCTGGGTGTTTATATTATCTTAGTTCGTACTTTATTGATATAGTTAGTGTAGTATATTTTAAATGATAAATAAAATATAATAATAATTAAAAGCGCCGAATAGACACCGTGAAGCAATGATCAGTCATAAAGTTTATATTAATTTATTCAACTTTTGATTTTTCGCTTGATTTCTTGTTATATTTTGTACAAATCAATGCCGGTATACTATTAAATGGACTTAAAGGAAAAGGAAAAGGAGACGTCTCTCTGAGACAGAATCGCAATAAAGTGCAAATCATTTCACGGTACTTAGAAGCAAATAAAAAAAAGTAATCGTGGAAGTTGATATGGAAACAGAAATGTCGATAGCTTTTTACCACTGGGATATGAATTAGGGAACGTATTTCTTGTGTGAAATCACATTTTATATTATTTATTAATAATTTCATTTTACATTATTTTATTAAGTAAATTTTTATATATAAGAACATTACCAAAGTGACTATACCAGCCCCACGTTACCAATCGTTCAATCACTCAACGTCGACCCGAATATGGCACATGGCGGAGGAATTTATTTAGAAATTGACATGGGAATTGAGAAACATAAATCAAAGTTCACGTATGAATATTGAGACTCTGATTATATGGCCATTTGAAAGAAATACGTATTAATAGAGAAAAACTACGCGTTGATGTTTTTTTTATATTTTTTATTTATGACATGAAATACTGTATATATAAATATACAGTAAATACTGTATAATATTTTAGGACACATTACACAATGTTCTCTAGTCCCCAAACTAAGCAAAGCTTGAACTATGTGTACAAGATAACTGATAAACATACATAAACTGAAGTTTTTAAATTTTTTTTTCGTTTTTAACATCGTGAGGAAACCTGCATATTTTCGAAATAATAAAAATATATGTCTAAGATATGTGAAGTCCGCCAATCCGCAGTATGGCCGCGTGGTGGACTATGCCCTGATACCCTCTTTATAGAGGAGGCTTTTGCCCAGCAGTGGGACATGTATGGGCTGTTTCTTTACTTTACTCTACAACCTTTTGTCGGTACACCATAACCTTCACAATTATTCATCGTGTTAAAATGATTCAAACACCATATAAGAGCTTATGTTTGGCAATAAAACAAGTGGAATTAAGTTAATGTTGTGAACTAAACGACTATTTACATCATCAATTTTCTTTTCCGTTTTAAATCATTTTTCATTTTATTTTGAAAACGTCTAAGCAATTCGATTGAAATTCTCTAAAGACTTGCCTTTAATTTACTTTCGTTTCTATCTTTTAAAGTTGTTACGCGACTAAGATCCGATACAATAACATCAAGTTTCCGTCCCGGACGTGCAACGGTTACTTCCCATCGAGAGGCAACATAGAGCTACGTTTGTGTATTCCAAAACTTTGTTTTGTTTTTGTTACTAATGGATTAAAGTAGTACTTTGTTTAACGAAAAGACAACAATATGTTTCGTTTCATCTCCTTTGATTTGATAATAAACTTTAATTCACTTCCTTGATTACTCTAGTAAGAGTAATGATTAAATAAATTACGTATTTAGAAACTTCGTATATTCCCATGATGACTTTCGAAGTATCACGAGTAGAAATTATAATGAGTCTGATAAATGTATAATAGCAGTAACCACGACGGTACATTCATTAAAATTTGCACGGGCTGAAGCGTTTGTAAGTGCTCTTGATTTTTCACTAAGTTCATCATCATGATACTAGACTATGACTCTGCAGGCAGTTCAATCTTAACATAAGACACTTAATATCCTTCCCTTGCAAATCTTATAAGGTAACCCGCACTGTCTTTTAATACGTAAACTAAAGTAAAGAAGACAGCACTGGTGTTGGCCTGCTGTCTTTTGATGATTGAAGGTTGGGATTCTGTGAATCCCAAGCAATTTAATTAAGAAAAACGAACCAGATTTATTTTACGATTCGCAGTGTGTAATATTCATAGCTTATTACGCCACGAATGACCAGGTAAAATACATCCTGCAATTTGCAGCATAGAACTGTTATCTTTAGTTTTCACATTAACTGTGGCAGGGCCACGCAACAGTCTACGCTGTAGCATGAATGGCAGGTCCGTCCGGTTAAGTACCACAACGTCACAGAACACTACAGCATGAAGTAACTAGACGCACTATATTTCTGTATTTGCAACCTTTCGGGTGTGGAAATATGTCCATGGGCAGCGGTTATCACTTAACACAGGTGAACCAGCTGGTTTGCCACTTTCATATACAAAAAAAACGAAACGGCTTATAATAGATATGTAGTCAAATAAAAATATTTCACGGAATTAGCGCATTTAATTTCAATTTTATCGCGTTTAAATTCACTGTGACGTTGCGAACAGTTTATATCGTTGGTGGTCACAGGATAGACCGTTTATTTCTCAGAGTTAATCACCAGCAGCTCACGTCTACCCAAGATAGGCTTATTGACAAATGCCAACTGAAATATATCAAAGGAATCGTCCCACTTCGTATTTATATGAAAAAGCATAAAATCATTGTCTGAAAATGTTTTCATTTATAAATCAATGAAACAGGAATTTTCAACTTATCTCTTCAATTTTTTTTTATTGAGAAAAGGAGCAAACGAACAGGAGGGTCACCTGATGGTAAGTGATAACCGCCTGCCCATGGACATTTTCAACACCTCTTAATAATATGGGCCCCGGCTACCGCACTCACCAGACGAAACGC